CCTACAGCACCAACTGCTCTCCCAACAGGTCTCTCCGATCTCTCCATCCTCCCCAGGAGGAATCCCAGTTCCTCTTGCAATTCCCAGCCCTGGGCCTGGCCCTGGGCTGGGCCCAGGTGTGTTTCCTGTGGGATTCTGGGAATTCCTTTATTCCAGGAATGCTGAGTCTGACCCACTGGGATCATCTGGGGATGGTTGTGTCGGCATCAACGTTGTCAAGGAGGAAAAGCTCCGGGCGGGCAGCGAATCCCAGGGAACGCTGGAAGAGGAAAAGGAAAAGCGTCAGAAATGGGAACAGCCTGACATGGGCCTGGTTTAATGAGGCCCAAGTTCATCGGGGTTTAATGAAGCCTGAGTTCAAGAGGGTTTAATGAAGCCCAAGTTGAGGCCAGTTAAACAAAGCCTGGATTGATCAGAGTTTAAAGATGCCCAAGTTGAGGAGGGATTAATGAGGCCCCAGTTGATCAAGGTTTAATGACACCCAAGTTGAGCCTGATTTAATGAGGAAGAGTTGATAGGAGGGTTTAACAAAGACTGAGTTGAGGAGGAGGGTTTAATGAGGCCTGGGTTGATCAGGGTTTAACAAGGCCCAAGTTGAGGAGGATTTAACAGCAGCTGAGTTGAGCTCAGTTTAGTGAGGCCCAAGTTTGATCAGGGTTTAACAAAGCTTGAGTTGAGGAGTGTTTAAGGAGGCCCAAGATGAGGAGGGTTTAATGAGTCCAAAGTTGAACCCAGTTTAATGAGTCCTGAATTGATCAGCATTTAAGGAAGCCCAAGTTGATCAGGTTTAATGAGGCCCAGGTTGTCCATCCAAAGCCACATTATGGAGACTTTTCCACACGCCAGTAAAATCCCCCTGGATCGGAGCTCTCTGGAAATCCAGGGAGGGCTTTAACAAGGCTGGGCTACCATGAGCCATTAATTAATTAATTAATCGGTCAGGGTTTACTGAGGCCCAAAATGAAGCCTGACTTGAGGAGTGTTTGAGGCCTAAATTAAGCCTGATTTAACAAAGCCCAATTTGAGGAGGGTTTAACGAAGCCAGAGTTGAGCCTGGTCTAATAAGACCCAAGGGAATTAATTATTAATTAAGCCCAAACAATTAATTCTCTCAGCAGGGAATCACTGAGGCCACCAGCAGCTGATGGTGACCAACTGTTGCTTCCAGCATCAGCTTGTGCCAGCCCATCATTCATTACAGTCATTAAGCAGGTCATTAAGCAGCCAGGACCTGCTGCAAGGCCAGTATTACTCCTATTTGTCAGAAAATGGGGATACTGGAAGGGATCAACCCACAGGACGCTCTGGAAAAAACATTCCCTCCCACCAAACAGCCCCTCCACTCATCTAAATCAATTTCCTCAATTGGAATGAAACTTTGGGTGTTGACAGGCCTTAATTAGTTCTAAGTGATTACATGGGTTGGTTAATTAAGAGGAGAAGTGGGGTGGTTGCTCGCCTCCTCCAAGGGGAACGAGGCCAAAGAAGATCCCATTGATGTTGATGATGGAGCTGGACTGGCCACCAATGTTCCTCACCAGGCAGAAATGGAACCCAAGGGCCCCCAGAGCATCGTGACAGACTCAGAAACTGATCAAACAAGAACAAAATATCCCAAAAGAGACACAACGCCCTTGTGGGGCCTGGCTCCTTCCCCAGCTTGTGGGGGAGGGAAGATGGTGGCTCCAGGAGTATCCCCATGTCCCAGAGCTGGTGGCAGAAGCAGGGACAGGAGGAGGTGGCAGTTTCTGTTCCTGCTGTCCCTGAGGAGTTTGAGACGAGAGAACATCAGTTCGTCCCTCTGACCTCCTGCAGCCCAGACCTGCTGGGTTAGGCTGGATTATCTCTGGAGTTAGAAGAGATTATCTCTTGATTTAGGATGGATTCCCTCTGGATTTAGGCTGGAATGTCTCTGGATTTAGACCAGATTAATTCTGGGGTTAGGCTGGAATACTCCTGGATTTAGGCTGGATTCTCTGTGGTTTAAAACAGCTTCAGCTGTACCCTTGGGCCAATTCACAGCTCAAGGAACCACTCTGGCCAGGACAAAAACCAGGAAAATCCTTTTTTCCCAGGAGTTGCTGGAGCTGCGGGCCCAGAGCACTGGGAGCACTGGGAGCAGCAGGATGGGCTGGATCCACCCACTGTGTCCCAGATCCCACCAGGAAAATCCCAGTGGGAAAGACCCTGAGTGGCCGACAGCTCCAGGGACATAACCAGGTGCAAACCCACTGGACAGGCTGGAACCAAACCAGGGGAAAACTCACTGGACAGGCTGTATCTAGTGGGGAAGGGCAGAAACATCCTCTGAAAGCACATCCAAGGGCCTTGGAGCTGGGGGGGGTCTCATTCCAGCTGGCAATTCTGAGAAAATCCCCCCCCCAAAAAAAAAATAATAAAAAAAAGACCCAGAAAGCCAAGGTGGAAAAGTCTCTGACTTTTAATTGCAAGGTCGTTTCTACAAACTGGTTTGTGTGTGGGATAAAATAAATTCCATGTGGAACAGAAGCCAAGGATGAGAAATGGATCCTGAAGAGCCATGAAAATCTCCTGATCCCCACGAAAAATCCTGAATATTGGAAAATCTGAATAGAAACCTGGTGCTGAGGGCACGAACATGGCTCTAGAGAAGCCACCCCCACCCTCAGTATGTGGCTGCAGGTATAAAACCTCCAAGAGATAAAGAAGGGGGAGAAAACTCCCACTGGAATTTGGGAATTAAATTTGGAAACCAGCACAGTGGTGTTTGTTTCTTGGTGAGTTCTCAGGATGGGGACTTATGTGGGGAAGAAAAGAACAGTTTCCCACAGGGGGAAGGACAGGGAGTGAAATTGAACTGGTTTGGTAAAGGGAATGAATGTAAATGATCCAGCCCAGAATTTTCCTGGAGTGGCAGGAATTCTGTCACCCACATCTAAGGAATACTGAAATTTCCCCAAAAATTCAGGCTCAAACACTCCAGGGACCTTAAACCACTCTCAGATGAGCTCTATGCCAGTGGCACAATGAGGTTTATCCTGACAAGAATTCCCAGTTCAACCCAACCCCAGGACCAGGCTGTGCCTCTTTGAGGCTCCAGGGAGTTTTTTTGGAGTGGTTCCCTACCTGGGGATGGTGGGAAAGAGGGAAAGGCCCAGGAGGATGATGGATTTCCTGGGAAACCTTGTTGAGGAGCTGGAAATGAGATGGTGTTGGGCAGATCCTGGCCAAAATTCCCCAAATCAACCCCTGTCCAAGCAGGAGGAAACCTCTGGAGAGGGAAGAGACCCTCTGGAAGGGGGAAGAGACCCTTTGGACCACCTGGACTCAACCTCCAAATCCACAGAACTCTTCTTGGGACCCAAAAATCCCCCTTTGTGGAGTGATGCTGGAACCATCCCAGGTTCTAGGAGAATGGGAACTGTGCTAGAAAAGTCCAGGATGCAGCTCCCAACACCCAGTTTCCACCATCCAGACACATCCAACCCAGCCCAAAATGTGAGATGGAACCTGGAAATTCATCCCAGGTTGGGAAAAAACATCCCCTTTTGTTCGGAAAACAAGAGAAAAATGTAGTGTTGGCTTAGAATTCCCTAAATCTGATTCCAGTTGCTTTCCAAGTGTCCCAAAAAGGGAACTGAGATTAATTAATGCTAACAAGGAGGGCAAGGAGAAAGGTTGGGGGGATTGAAGGGAAATAAATCAATAAATTAAAACTTTGAAGTTGTTTTCCAGCCACGACCTCCCAGGAGGAGCTGTTGGCATTGTCTGCATGGTGACATTTTGAGCTGGAAACCAAGGACTTTGGAGAACTCCAAGGAGTGTCTCCAAGAGTCACGTGCCAAGGGAATGAAATCCCACCATCATCCATCAACCAGACACATTCCTGGCTTGTTTCCTTTGCTGGCCACCAAAGCCATGTGCCAAAAGGACACAAAAAAATCAGCAGTGTCCCTTGTCCTGGCATCACTCAGGCCCTGGTGGAGCCGATTGAGAAATGTTTTTAAATCCAAAAATAAATCAATCAAATAAATGAAAGAAATTAAATTAATCAATCAAATCCAGTGTGGTGGTTAAGGGTGGTCACAACCTGACCATGGAGGTAGACTCCAGCTGTAGTGTCAACTTGTCTGCAGGTCCCTCCAATGCAGCCCAAAAGGTGCATTTGGAAATGGCAACCTTATTAATACTTATTATTAGTTTTTGTTATTATTATTAATATAATTTAAATTAAATTAGCATTCTCCAGTTGAGTGCCCAGGAGGCAGGACCTGGAGCTTCAGTGTTTCTGCTACATGGAGTAAGAGGAGTTTGGAGATCAAAATGAGACAAGGCTGGAGAGGAGATGGGATGAGGAGGGGTCTGCAGCATTGGGGGGGATTAGTGTTTGGAAAACCAGCAGCTCCTGCCCACCTCCCATTGCCCTCCTGCTCCTTCCCAGTGGGATTGGAGGTGTCCAGCAAAGGAAACTCAACTCTACCATGGAAACAGGTTGAGAGTTGGGCTTCTCCAGCATGGAGAAGGCTCCAGGGGGACCTTAGAGAAGCTTTCAGTGCCTGAAGGGGCTCCAGGAAAGCTGGGGAGGGACTTGGGCCAAGGGCAGGCTTTCAGTGCCTGAAGGGGCTCCAGGAAAGCTGGGGAGGGACTTGGGCCAAGGGCAGGCTTTCAGTGCCTGAAGGGGCTCCAGGAAAGCTGGGGAGGGACTTGGGCCAAGGGCAGGAGGAATGGGATGAGGGGGAAGGGCTTGAAACTGGCAGTGAGGAGCTGGATGTTGGAGCTGAGGAGGAACTTCTTGGCTGGGAGGGTGGGGAGAGCCTGGGCCAGGGAAGCTGTGGCTGCCCTTTAAGGTTCCTCCAACCCAAACCATTCCATGATTCCATGATCCCTCTTGGAGCACTCCAGCCTCCCAGGTTGGTGGCTGTGGGTGCTGGAGGCACACCCCCCTGGGCAGCCCCCGGGTGACACTGTCACCATAGACACGCGCTGGCTCTGATGGCGACTGGCGCCGCTGGACACGGCGGCTACTTGGTGACATGGGCCGGGGCCTCCTCGGCCAGCAGGGTCCTGGTGACGCTTACCGACTGTCCACAGGCCAGGGAGGAGAGACCCAGAGCAATGAGGCAGAGCCAGCCCTGCAGAGAGAGGGGACAGGGGTCAGAGACAGGGATGGGGACACAATGTCAGGGAATGCCAGAATCCCACAGTGCTTTGGTTGGAAGAAACTTAAAGACCATCTATATCCAACCCCTGCATGGGCAGGGACACCTCCCACCAGCCCAGGCTGCTCCAGCCCCATCCAACCTGCCCTTCAACACCCCCAGGGATGGGGCAGCCACGGCTGCCCTGGCCCAGGCTCTCCCCTCCCTCCCAGCCAAGAAGGTCCTCCTCAGCTCCAACATCCAGCTCCTCATTGCCAGTTTCAAGCCCTTCCCCCTCAGCCCATCCCTCCTGCCCTTGGCCCAAGTCCCTCCCCAGCTTTCCTGGAGCCCCTTCAGGCACTGGAAGCTGCTCTCAGGTCTCCCTGGAGCCTTCTCCTCTCCAGGCTGGACACCCCAACTCTCCCAGCCTGGCTCCAGAGCTGCTCCAGCCCTCCCAGCATCTCCAGGACCTCCTCTGGCCTCTCTCCAACAGCTCTGTGTCCTTCCTGTATTGAGGACACCAGAGCTGCACCCAGCCCTGCAGGGAGGTCTCACTGGATTGGAGCAGAGGGGAGCAATCCCCTCTGGTTGGATCTAGATGGTCTTTAAGGTCCATCCAACCCAAACCATTCAATGATTTTGATGATTCTATTGCTAAAGAGTTGGTAGGAAAAGCAGGGAACGGCCATATGGTTCAGGAGATGCAGAAGAGATTCACAAGGAAACCTGGCCACAAAAGGCTCAACTTCCCCTCCTGTCCTGACCCCGTGGACAATTTTGGTGACTTTAAAACATGACTATGATGGAGAGAAGGTAAATCCCTTGTCTCCTCCTGCCTGCCAGGCCCCTCAGGTGGCCCCAGCCGTACCAGGTAGGCCACGAAGGACAAGTAGATGATGCTGAGAACAGCGGCCCCGATGTACAGAGCCAGGTGATTGAGGGACATGACATAGGCCACCACGAAATACATGTTGATGCTGCAGATGAGGAGGATCAAGACACCCCCCCCGATCTTCCAGAACCTGTCAGAAAAAACAGAGGGAAACAGGGTGAGCTGGAGGGGTCACTGCTGGGGCTGGGGCATGGTCCAGACCAGAAGAAGATGAAGGGGTTAGAGGGGAGCAATGTGGCATCTCCTGCTTGGAGATGATTCCCTTTGGACTTACCACCCATTGGCAAAGTCGTTCATGACACTGGGGAGGCTGGTGAAGGTCAGGACCGGGATCAAAGCAAAGGGGAGCTGGAATAAGAGAGAAAGTTCAGGAGAATAAGGAGTGGAACCAGTTCTGGTGATCTCAGCATGGACGAACACGTGGGGATGGGTCAAATCTGAGCACATTTCCTCCAAGCTGATGTCAATGAGTCCAAGGGATTTCCTCCAGCTAGAAGAAGGAAGAGCTTTCAGACCCTGGCTGAGCCTCCCCACCTCCACCAGCACAACACCTGATGTGGAGCTGCTGGAGAGGTTCCAGAGGAGGCCACGGAGATGATCCAAGGGCTGGGACAGCTCTGCTCTGGAGACAGACTGGGAGAGTTGGGGTGTTCAGCCTGGAGAGGAGAAGGCTCCAGGGAGAGCTTAGAGCAGCTTCCAGTGCCTGAAGGGGCTCCAGGAAAGCTGGGGAGGGACTTGGGCCAAGGGCAGGAGGAATGGGATGAGGGGGAAGGGCTTGAAACTGGAAGTGAGGAGATGGATGTTGGAGCTGAGGAGGAACTTCTTGGCTGGGAGGGTGGGGAGAGCCTGGGCCAGGGAAGCTGTGGCTGCCCCATCCCTGGCAGTGTTCAAGGACAGGTTAGATGGGGTTTGGAGCAGTCTGGGCTGGTGGGAGGTGTCCCTGCCCGTGCAGGGGGTGGGATCTAGATGATCTTTTAGGTTGCTCTAACCCAAACCATTCCATGGTTCCATGACTTTATGCTAATCCTCTGCTTAGCTGCCCCTACAAGCCCTCAGAAGCTGAAGCAATGAGTGCTGGAATTTCTCCCAGTTCTGATCCCCCCCAGATGCTGCTGCCGCTCACCTGGAGACTCATGAGGACATTGAGGAAGTCATTCATGCCTGTCAGGTGCTCCACGTCCTGGAAGATGGCGACAAAGAGCGTGGGGGTGATGGCGATTGAGCGGGTCAGCAGGACCCTGGCGAAGCGGGACCAGCGCAGGTTGAGGAAACCCTGGGAGAAACCAGGGAGGAACTTCCAGTGCCTGAAGAGGCTCCAGGAAAGCTGGGGAGGGACTTGGGCCAAGGGCATGAAGGATGGGATGAGGGGGAAGGGCTTGAAACTGGCAGTGGGGAGATGGAGGTTGGAGATGAGGAGGCAATTCTGCCCTGGGAGGGTGGAAGACCCTGGGCCAGGGAAGCTGTGGCTGCCCCATCCCTGGGGGTGTTGAAGGGCAGGTTGGATGGGGCTGGAGCAGCCTGGGCTGGTGGAAAGTGTTCCTGTCCATGCAGGGGGTGCCACTGGATGATCTTTGGATCACGGAATGGTTTGGGTTGGAAAGGAACCTCACAGACCACGCAGATGATCCACTAGATGATCTTCAAGGTGCTACTGAAAGTGCTCCAGGTATCTAATATGGTGCTTGGAGCACCATGGGCTGGTGGGAGGTGTCCCTGCCCATACAGGGCGGTTGGATCTAGGTGATCTTTGAGGTTGCTCCAACCCAAATCATTCCATGATTGCAGGACCCAAGTGATGCAGGAGGAGGAGTGTCGGGGTGGGATGAGTCAGGAAGACTTCTGGAGCTTCCAGCATGTCCAAGGAAGGGGAATCATTGACATGAACCTTCCAGGACTGGGAATGGAACAAGCAGGATGGTGGAAAGCCATCCATGTGGTTGTTACCTCCATGACAAACTGCCCAGAGTAGGTCCCTGTCATAGTGGAGCTCTGCCCAGCCGCCAGGATTCCAATGGCCCAGATGTAGAGCGCAGCAGGGCCAAAGTAACAGCCCAGAACAACCCCCTGGAACAGAGATATGTGGCCCCATCAGCCCAGCCCACACCCCAGGGAGACAATGCAGAAATTCCCTTGGGAGGCAATGAAGCCCAGGAATCCAGCTGGAACAAAGAGGGAATGAGGCATTTGTGGAATAGGGAGGATCCCTCCCCATTGGTGGATCAGGAAGCATCTCCAGGGTTGGGTTGGATGGAGAAGGTTCAGAACGGGTGTGAGGGAAAGTTTTGTCACGGCCAAGGGAGTCAAAGGGGTCTCCAGGGATTTCCTCCACCACTGGGATCATGAGGGCTCAAGGCTGGGATTAGTTCTCTCCAATATCTTTATCCATGGTCTGGATGAGGGGATTGAGTGTTCCTCAGTCAGTGCAGAGATGACACCAAGTTGGGTGGGAATGTGGAGCTGCCTGAGGGTAGGAAGGGTTTGAAGAGGGATGGGAACAGGCTAGATCCATAGGCTGAACTCATCTAGTGGGAGGTGTCCCTGCCCATGACAGGGGTTGGAACTAGATAAGCATCCAGATCCCTTGAACCTTATAAAGTCCTTGATTGTGTGAACCCTGAGGTCAGTTCTGGGCCCTTCAGGACAAGAAGGACATTGAAGGGCTGGAGCGTGTCCAGAGAAGGGACATGGAGCTGGGGAAGGGGCTGGAGAACAAGGAGAAGGGTCTGGAGAACTTGTGGAAATGGTGCTGAGGGACGTGACGCAGTGGTGGCCTTGGCAGAGCTGGGTCCACGGGTGGACTCCATGATCCTCCAGGTCTTTCCCAATGACAACAATTCCATGATTCCAGCCCTATCCTTCACCACTCCCAGTTTACCCCAACACGCCCTGAGAAAGACACTGCTGGGGACAAGGCCAGCCCTTTGTCACCCTCCTGGGCTACTCACCCCCTTGTAGATGTCCACTTCCAGTGTCTGGTTGTTGTTGGGGAAGAGTGAGACGTGGGGGCTGCTGGTGTTCCCACAGACTCTGTGCTGCAACAAGGGGAGGTTGGGTTTGATCAGCTGGGGTGGGGGGAAAAGGTCTGCAGATGCTGGAGGTCCCAGGGTGCTGGGTGCCTCTTCAGACTGTTTTCAGTGGTTTTACTGGGCCACAATGATCATCTGAGGGCTGGAGACAGGCTGAGAGAGTTGAGGTTGTTCAGTCCGGAGAGAAGAAGGCTCCAGGGAGATCTTAGAGCAGCTTCCAGTGCCTGAAGGGCCTCCAGGAAAGCTGGGGAGGGACTTGGGCCAAGGGCAGGAGGAATGGGATGAGGGGGAAGGGCTTGAAACTGGAAGTGAGGAGATGGATGTTGGAGCTGAGGAGGAACTTCTTGGCTGGGAGGGTGGGGAGAGCCTGGGCCAGGGAAGCTGTGGCTGCCCCATCCCTGGCAGTGTTGAAGGGCAGGTTGGCTGGGGCTGGAGCAGCCTGGGCTGGTGGGAGGTGTCCCTGCCCATGCAGGGGGTTGGATCTAGGGTCTCACCAACCCAACCCATCCCATAATTCTCTGATCATTCTCTCATTTCATACCTCTGACTTCTCAGACACATCCAGAGGAAAGGGGTATCATTCCCAAGTGTCCACCAATCCAGGACTAGATGTGTTTTAAGGTCCCCCCAGCCCAAACCATCCCATGATCCCACATAATTACCATTGCCATTGTTCCTCTCCCCTTTATGTCCAGAACATTTGGGCTCTGGTGCCCCAGGGCCCTGACCAGCCCCAGGGCTGCCCCTCTGCTCCAGCAGCCCCATGCTTTGGTGTCATCCCATCCACGAGGTACCACCAACTCCTCCCAATCCCAACTCACCACGTCCCCATTGGTCTTGTCAAAAAAAGCCTCAGCAAAAACTGTGACCACAAAGATGTTGATGATGAAGGAGACAAAGAGTGCAATGCAGGATTCGATGAAGAAATACTTGTTGGCTTCTTGGACCTCTCTCTTGTTGGCCCGGTTCACCTGTCGGGACTGCAGAGGGGACAGGGATTCAGCAGGGTGAGGGGACAGGGATTGGCTGTTATCTGGAATTGTCCTGGAATGGCTTGGGAGGGATCTTAAAGAGCATCTTGTTCCAATTCCCCTACATGGGCAGGGACACCTCCCAAAAGGTGGGAGCTAAACCCATAGATCCAGCCTGTCCAGGTCCCTCTGTTGCCACAGCTTCTCTGGGCAACCTGTTGTATCACACTGTTTTAGACATTATACATCTTTAACTACACTGCATAAAACTGTCAGTGGGACACAGGTCACTTGGGGTCAGGAATTGCTGGAGGGAAGACAAAGCAAAACCCAACATCTGTGCTGGACACTGGTGAGGAGACATCTCGAGCCCTGAGGTCAGTTTTGGGGCACAAAAGGGACATTGAGGGGCTGGAGCATGTCCAGAGAAGGGACATAGAGCTGGGGAAGGGGCTGGAGCACAAGGAGAAGGGGCTGGAGAAGTTGTGAGAAGCAGATGAGGGAGCTGGGGGTGTCTGTCCAGCCTGGAGCAAAGGAGCTGAGGGGAGACCTTCTGGCTCTGCAGCTGCTGAGAGGAGGTTGGAGCCGGGGGGGTTGGGCTCTGCTCCCTAGGAACAAGTGATGGGACCAGAGGAACTGGCCTTGAGTTGCCCAGGGGAGGTTGAGGTTGGATCTTGGGAACAATTCCTTCCTGGAAAGGGTTGCCCAGGCTGCCCAGGCAGGGGTGGGGTTCCCATCCCTGGAGGGGTTTCGAAGCCCTGGAGGTGGTGCTGAGGGACGTGGGGCAGAGGTGGAGTCAGCAGAATTGGGTTGGGGTCAGACTCTGTGATCTTCAAGGTCTTTCCCAACCAGAACTCCCACATCCCCACATGCAGGACACGTGTCCTCAAGCTCTGGGCCTTTCCCTGTGCCAGGGACCCAGCCAGCCCCTGGGGATATATTTGCCCCCTCCCCCAGGTAAAGCGGTTCCCAGGGCTGTGCCCACTCCCCTTCAAGGCCTCCCCCCGCCCAGGGTCTCACCTTGACCAGGGCTGAGTGCAGGTACATGTTGTGGGGCATGATGACAGCACCCACGATGCCTACGGCCTGTTCCAGCTGGGGGGTCCCACAGCCCGGGCAGCCAGGCACGAAGAGCCCCCGGAGCAACTGCCCCTGGTCCGGCCGCACCGTCACGTACTGGGACAGAGACAGGGAGGGTGACACATCTGGCACAGGGTGGCACTGCCCGACAGGGGTGGCACTGTGTGTGACATGGTGTGTGGCACAGCATAACAGTGTGCGACGTGTGGCAGAGCCTGGTACAGTGTGTCACAGCACATGTGGCACCAGGCAGGACAGCATGTCACACCTGGTGCTGCATGGCACAGTGTGTGCCCAGCATGTCATATGCAGCACAGCACAGCCCCAGCCCCGGTGGTGGCAGCTGCTGCCACTGCCCTGGGGGACACTGTGCTGGCCCCAGCCTCAGTGGTGGCACTGGACACCCCTCCCAGGGCCGGGTGAGGCTGCCACAGCCCACACTTCCCAGGTCCTGAATGGGATGTGTCCCCTCCATTGGGGTGTCGTAGGGACAGAGGAGGGTGGGGACAGAGGAGGGTGGCACTCAGTGGCACCCCTGGAGGTACCTCGTAGCCGAAGGTCAGTGCCATGATGGTGATGAGGAAGCCAAAGAAGGCCTCAAGCTTCCGCAGGCCTGGGAGGAGAACAGGGACCATCAGCAACACTAAAACCTTGGGAGACCTTCAGAAACCTCCTGCAGTTCCTCAAGGTCAAGGGCAGGTCCTGCAGCTGGGGAGGAACAAGCCCAGGGAGCAGCACAGGGTGGGGGGACCTGCTGGAGAGCAGCTCTGGGACAAGGACCTGGGGGTCCTGGTGGCCAACAGGGTGACCATGAGGCAGCAACGGGCCCTGGTGGCCAAGGAGGCCCATGGGCTCCTGGGGGGCACCAGGAAGAGTGTGGGCAGCAGGTCAGGGAGGTTCTCCTGCCCCTCTGCTCTGCCCTGGGGGGGCATCTATGGAGAACTGGGCCCAGGTCTGGGCTGCCCAGGTCAGGAAGAACAAGGAGCTGCTGGGGAGGGGACAGCAAAGAGCCAGGGAGATGGGGAGGGGGTAAGAACATCCCTGTGGTGAGGAAAGGCTGAGGGACCTGAGGTTCCAGCTGAGCATGAGCAGGAACCTGTTGCTGCGAGGGTGGCAGAGCCCTGGGCCAGGCTGCCCAGAGAGGTGGTGGATTCTCCTTCTCTGGAGACATCCCAGCCCCACCTGGATCCTGTGGGTCCTGCTGGAGGTGACTTTGCACTGCTGGGAGTGGCTCTGGGTGATCTCCAGACCTCACTCCCCACCCCAAACATCCCGTGACTGGGAATTCTGCAGGATTTCAAAAATCCAGAACTTACCATATTTATCCAGGAAGAGAAACACGAAGGTGTCAGCGATGGTGATGAGGACACCGCCCCACAGCGGGATCCTGTGGGAGATGGAGAAGAGTAGGAGCAGATATTGGATTAATGGAATGTTCCCTACCTTGGCCATCAACCCCCCCCCCCACCTTAGAGCCATTTTTCTGTATTTTTTTTGAGAAGGAACCAATGCCTGAGGGTTTCTTTCCAGCCTGAGCAGCCCCTTTTCCCTGAATTCCAAGAGGAACCTGAGCCTGAAAGTAAGAGGAAGAACCAAGAACCAACACCTTCTTGGTCCAAAAACTGTAGCTCCCTGTTCGGTTTGTACTCCCAGAAAGGAAATCTTTCTGCCAAGTTCTTTTAGGAAGAAATCCTCAGCCAAGAAAGCTGCAGCCTCATTTTTGGGCTGTTTCTAATGAAAATAAAGGCCAGAACTTGAAGTTCTCCTTCTAGTTGAGAAGGCATGGGCACCAAGGCCTGAGTCACCTCAGAGAGTGAGATGAATCACCCTGGACAAGTATTTCAGCAGCTTTATGGGAAATAACTGGGGTTTTTTTGGCACAGGCAGGAGTTCTTTCTCCCCCTACCCAAGGCGAGAACTCATGTCCTGCTGCCACTGGCCCACAAAGCGACTCACCTCCCCACAGACAGGAGGTTGATGGCGATGGCTGAGCCGATGACTTCCTGCATGTCTGACCCGATGATGGCCAGTTCCACCATCAGCCACAGGATGATGCGAGGGACCTGGAAGGAACACCCAACACCATGAAAAAGAGGGAAAAGTTTCCTTCCTTACTTAAAGGAGCATGGTGGGGTCAGCAGTGGTCGCTGCTCCCCAGCTGTGGTGGGGAAAGTGTGGTGAGTCTGGTACAGTTGACCCGTGGTCATCACTGGAGAAGGTTCCTAGGTTTATTTATATCTACATTTCTTGCCTCAAGATAATTTGATTGTTGCCAGAGGAAAATGGGATGTTTCCATGTGCTGAGGAGCTAGAATGAGTATCGGGAGATCAGAGGTGGGGCAGCCACAACTTCTGTGGGCAAGTGTCAAAGATACTGGATTGAAACTGGAACTGGGAAGATTGAGGTTGGACATGAAGATGAAATTCTTGGCTAGGAGGGTGGGGAGACCCTGGGCCAGGGAAGCTGTGGCTGCCCCACCCGTGGAAGTGTCCAAGGGCAGGTTGGATGGGGCTTGGAGCAACCTGGGCTGGTGGGAGGTGTCCCTGCCCATGTAGGGGTATTGCTTAAAGACGGTCTTTAGATCATGGAATCATGGAGTGGTTTGCCTCGGAATGGACCTTAAAGAGCACCAAGATGAGCCACTTCAAGGTGCTGTTCCATCCCTAGAAGCGTTCAAGGTGTCTAATATGGGGCTTGGAGCAGCCTGGGCTGGTGGGAGATGTCCCTGCCCATGCAGGGGGTGGGACTGGAAGAGCTTTAAGGTCCCTCCAACTCAACCATTCCATGGCTCTATGATGATTCCATGGTTTCACGTGCCTGGAGTGATGACAGAGTCTCAAGTGTTGGATGAGAAACATCCCAGGATGAGGCCACCACCCTCCTACCCTCAGGGTCCTCCCAGAAGCCATGAAGATCCCTCAGCAGGGAAGTGGAGCAGCCTGGGGCCTGCACGGCCCCGTTCCCTCGCCATTAACCCCTTGACTTGTTAAGCCATGATTGTTTACCCTGCAGGAGGTGCTAGGTTTATATAAATATATAAAATCTATAGATATTATAAATATCTAAATATGTAATAAAATATACACACATATATAAAATCTATCTCTTCTCTAGAATTTCAACTAGAATTTCATACAATCATAGGAATAATATGTAAAAATATATCTTATATGTAATATATATAACTTTAAAAAAACAGCAGTTCAAACAGAATTTAATAGAATCACAGAATGCTTGGTAATAATAGAAATATATTTAATAGATATAACTCCATATATATATATTATTTCAAATATAATTTCAAATTCCAAATATAATTTGAAATACCATTTAATAGCATAATAACCTAGTTTATAATAATATGAATGTATAAAATATATAGGTTATATTAAATATATAATTTCAAATAGATATAGAATTTCAAGTATTTAGATACAGAATTTAAAATACATAATTCAAATATAATTTTAAATATAATTTTAAATATAATTTAATAGCATAATAGCATGGTTTATGATATGACTATATAAATTACATATAAAATTATATTAAATATAGAATTTCAAATATTTATATCTATAATTTTAATTCTTTAGATCGTGACAGCAGCCCAGGACTGTCCCCACGGGTGGCCACCCACCCGTGTCCCCAGGTCACTCACCTTCTGGTACTGCCTGTTGCAGACCTCAGCCAGGTGCAGCCCAGTCACCACCCCCAGCCGGGCTGCCAGGCGCTGCAGGAGGAGTCCAATGATTGTGGCCAACATCAGGACCCAGAGGAGCTGGGGGGACATGACGGTCACAGGGTCACACAGGGGAGTTGTAGGGTTGGAAGAGACCTCTAAAGATCATCCAGTCCAACCCCCTGCTAAAGTAGGGTCACCTACAGCAGATCCCACAGGAACACATCCATGTGTGTCTGGGACAGCAAGAAATGACGGCCAAGAATAGGACCCCAGGTCCCCTAGGACACCTGCACCCCACCTGTGACTTTATGAATCACAGGCCTCCTAAAATATATACTATTGACATGTTTTTTTGCAGACAGAAGTGGCACAGGGGCTCTACAGGCATGTAAAGGCAGGAGAGATTGCTGGAGAGGAGACATGAGGGTCTCACACTCCCTTTCTCCTTCAGGAAAGAGAAACTGGCCTCGAGTTGCCAAAAGGAGGTTTAGGTTGGATCTTGGGAACAATTTCTCCATGGAAAAGGTTGTCAGGCCCTGGCCCAGGCTGCCCAGACAGGGGTGGGGTCCCCAACTCTGGAGCGGTTTCTAAGCCCTGCAGATGGTACTGAGGGACATGGTTTGAGCACTGGACTGGTAGAGCTGGGTTAAAGGGTTGGAGTTGATGATACTGAAGCTCTTTTCCAACTAGGACTCTGTAACTCTGTGATTCTGTGACTGATTCTGGGATTCTCTGGGGTATTCCCAGCTTCCGCTTAGTGCTTCTGCCCCACACCAGGGATGGGAACGTGGTCTGCATGACTTCCAGCCCTTCACTGGAGGTTCCTGCACTGACCTTGAAGCCTGCAATGGCCCCAGACTGCAGATCCGACTCAATGTTCCCGGGATCCAGATAGGCAATGCTCATCAGGAAGCCCGGCCCCGTGAAGGCCCAGAGCTTGCGGAAGCTGAAAAAAAAAAATGCTGCAGAAGAGAGGATGGAACCATCATCCCACCAGCACCAGCCCCTCCAGCAGGAAAACCAGCAAAATCCAAATGGATTTCTGTCTCATAGAGACATGGAATGGTTTGGGTTGGAGGGACCTTAGAGTTCATCTAGGTCCAACCACCTTGTCACAGGCAGGGACACCTCCCACCAGCCCAGGTTGCTCCAAGTCCCATCTAACCTGCCCTTGGACACTTCCAGGGGTGGGGCAGCCACAATTTCCCTGGGCAATCTGGGACAGGGTCTCCCCATACTCACCACCTCCTCACTCCCACCAGCAGTGCTGGTGAGATCAGCCCCTTCTTGAATCCCACCCAGAACTCCCCCACAATCCCTGGGCCAAGGAGTTTGGGAGCAGACCCTGGACCAGCCAAGGCCAAACCCTGGGTGGGGGATGAATCCTCCTGACCCTGCAGTCAAAAATGTTGCTTAATCCAAAGCAAAGAGGGAACCTCCACCCCCGACAGGGGACAAGGCTGTGACACATTCCTGC